GAAGTGTGCCCTCAACGCAGAAACTGCTCCAACAAAGTTATGAGGAGGACAGATTGAAAATGACACTCCGTAAATTTTATGGACACCATCACGAATTGGTTGATTCATACGATGTGTCTTTGTCCAAACTAACTAAGGACATTTTTACCACGTGTTAGATTGTGGTTTGCCATTACGTCGTTTGGTCTTTTAAGTACCGAACGTGACTTATTCCCGTTTGTGACTGTTTTGCTGAGTGTGAATTCGCATAGCTTTAAGACGTGTCACGGTATTTTTCTATCCAAAATCCATGTTTTTAGTTTTGATGTTATATTTTTTATTCTCATCGGATTTTGTTAAATGTCTTATCGTTTGTAGTTGTAAATCTTATTTTTTTCTGTTCTATTCGTGTGTTACGGAAAGATAATTAATCACCCAGTTCATTTATAGGATTTTAGTTTGGGTCAACTAAATTTATACGATGTATTTGGTTTACAGTTTGATTTAGAAGAAATACCGACATATCTTGATAATACAATTAATTATCTAATTACTACCACAACTTTATTAATAAGTATTGTAATTTTCATTGTTATTGATACATGTCATGTCAGTATAACAACCTAATCTTGAACTCTATCCTAATTTTTGGAAATTTATAGAAATTTAAATGTGACGTCACATTGTGCGTTGATTTCTTCGGCTAACATATAATACGTTGTTCGGCTGTGCCTTTTTTATGTGCTGATTTAGTCTGTATTATGTATTCGTTTTTATTCTGTAGTTAGTCACCACATCGGTGTTAACATGTATATCTATTATATAGTCATTTTTATAAATTTACTGTTTGTAAAAGTATGAATTATTCTAAATACTATATCACAGGCATATAACCTTAGCCATATTTGGCACAACTTTTTTGGAACTTTTGGTCCTCAATGCTCTTCTACTTTGTATTTGTTTTGGCTTTCGAATTTTTTTTTATCTGAGCGTCACTGATGGGTCTTATGTAGACGAAACGCGCGTCTGGCGTATTAAATTATAAGCCTGGTACCTTTTGATAGCTATTATTTGTGTATTTTCTATGTCCTGTATGTTCTCCCATTTATTTGTATTGTAGTCCTGTCATGTAATCTTGTCATTTTAATATTATATTTAACATTGCCATAAAAGCGGGAGGTTTGGATAACCACAAAACCAGGTTCAATCCACCATTTTTTCTTAAAATGTCCTGTACCAAGTCAGAAAAATGGCCATTGTTATATCAAAGTTCGTTTCTGTGTGTGTTGCTTTTTTGTGTTGAGTTTCTGTTGTGTCGTTGTTCTCCTCTTATATTTGATGTGTTTCCCTCAGTTTTAGTTTGTAACTCGGATTTGTTTTTTTCTCAATCGATTTATGAATTTCGAATAGCGGTATACTACTGTTGCCTTTATTTACATAGCCATGAAACAGCAAATGAATTTTGCCTACAATTTCATTGAAGATCACTATATGAACCACAATCAATGTTCGTATTTCCATAAGATGATAATACTATCTTGACCATGTTTTATCTACATTACGGAAGGGGCCAATGTATGAAATAAATTTGTTCAAGAGCGCATGTGAAATTTAAATAGAAACGAAGAGTACGGCCGTCAACAATCGATAAAAAACTCTAGCACCACACATGATAAAATTACTACCAATACAAACAAACAAATTCAAAACAAGACAACTGATTAATGCTCATACTATAAACAAAAATCATATATTGCATGCAGCAATCAACGCCCATTACTGTTTTAAAGGCACCTGACCGGGGACAGCCATATAAATAACGTGCCTGTTCTAAAATTTCTAAACACACATACTTCTTTTTGACCTGGGACAGTGGTTTAACAACTATACACACTGTAAAAATCAGTTGGTAAAGGTTTGACTTGTCAGAATAACACGAAGCACAAAATAAAAAATAAAAAAGATAAAATGCACAATATCAGTTTCTATCAGACATAAATATCAATCTTACCAGACAAAAATATCAGTCAGGACACACACAAAGGAATAAGTGAAAAGACGTCATAAACAGTCTGCAAAATTTTGACATTGTGCAATGCCAAAATTTAAGTATCGACAGGATATATTATAGGTCAATAAGTGTTCATAACGGTGAAGCAATACACATTAATTAGATATAAGAAGATGTGGTATGAGTGCCAATGATACAACTCTCCATCCAATTCACAATTTGTAAAAGTAAACCATTATAGGTAAAAGTACGGCCTCCAACACGGAGCCTTGGCTCACACCGAACAGCAAACTATATAGGCACCAAAAATGACTAGTTTTAAACTATTCAAACAGGAAAGCCAACGGTCTAATCTATATAAAAAAGGAGAAACGAGAAACACTTAAGTTATGTTTTAATTTATGAAAAAAAAAATCTATGTTAATAAGTACAATTCTTGCTACTTCTATAACTGAAACTACTTAATATTTTTTACCAAAAATAAATTCCATCGCACCTCAATGAAACAAAGTTCACTTTTTCTCACATTTTTTTATACAGCTGGAGTGTCCTGACTTTTGTTTTGTTTTGCATATAATAACATAGAGAGTATGTGCATGACAAATTTGAGCAAACAAATGATAATCAAAATAGAGGACGAACTTCTGTTTTTATAATTCTGATTAATCTACACAATATTTTCTATATCCATATATATTGGGAAAGGAATAAGTTGCCGAAGTATATATAATATTTTCTCGGTTTAGATATCACAGTTCTCGAAAAGCTCATTTGCTATCTGAAGACTAGCATTTCACATATTCTACGTCGCAGTCTTGTGCTGGTTAGTCATGACGGCATAATTTTGTAGAAAGGACAAATATAGTTTGTGAACAGATAAAAAGGGAGGCGAAAAAAAACAAGGTGATACTCAAAGTTCTTATGTCGACAAAAAACTGACAACGCCATGGCAATAATCGAAAGACGACGAAAAGACAAACAATTTCTCAAAACACTACATACAATTCTCAAGACTAATAACAAGAATCCCACCAACAACTGATGGTGATATCAGGTGCTCTGGAAGAGTAAGCAGTCCCTGTTCGGTATCAAGTCTCATTCGGTGATGTAACAATCTAACAATAGTGGACGTGATTGTGGTTACGAGAATTGGACATATTCATGGCCATTTGTGACACAAATTTGTCATAACGGTCCCCTTAGTTCTATAGATTTCATGTAAGCAGCAACACTTTACAGAAATCATTATAGAAAATAGATCCCTGAAATATCTTTCAAATGGAAGATATATACTACAATCCCTTTTGTCGTAAAGTTTTCTTCTCAACCGACCCTCATTGTCAAATTCAAGATGTAAGTCAAAATATGAGGCAATCTTTACTGTATCTGTTGTATACTTCATTTTAAGTTTAATATGATAGATTCATTCAATATAGTCAACAAACTATGAATTATCTATTGAGAGAACATCATATATACATAGCGGAACGTGTAGTTAAAGGATACAGTTAGCTTCTCTACATTTTTCCTGAGATGCTCCTGTATAAAGACTGCCTCATAAGAATAAATGAACAAGTCGGGAAGAAAAGTACAAGTGGTTCAGGAAATTTGTACTGAATAAGATAATCTAGACTCAAAAGTACCCTTACCTTCTCTTTGACTATAGTTTGAAAAATGCCAGCACTTACTAAGATATTGATTACTGAGTTAAAGGATTGAATGTATATATCTAACAGTACATATATATAGTTTTGCTTCATGGGTTTTTATATCTTTCTAGTTGTTTGATTTATGATATACTGCTTCATTAATAAGCAAAAGCAATTTTTCGAGTGGAACAAAAATACCGAACTCAAAGGAAAATGCAAAACGGAAATTACCTTATCAAATGGCAAAATCAAAAGCTCAAACACATCAAGCAAATGGAAAACAACTGTCATATTCCTGACATGGCACATGCATTTCACTATATAGAAAAGGTGGATTAAATGGTTTAATAGCTAGCTAAACCTCTCATTTGTATGACAGTCGCAGATAATTCCATTATATTGACAGCAATGTGTGACCAAAACAAATACACATAATAGGTAAAAATGTCACAGATTGGGTTTGTGTTATAATCTTATCATCTTAATCACAATAAATACAAACAACTATGTCAACAAAGAAATGGCATATAGACACTCTAAAGAATGTATAAATACCGAGCCACACCAAAAGGATATTACCAAAAATGGACTAAACAATCAAAATATAAATTCTCTGACTAACAATTTAATTTATATATCCTTGTGGCCAAAATGAAAATTATATAATTTAAAGATTTTGAATGCTATCATAGCGAGGAACCATTTTTATTTTAAACACATTTAAATGACGTCATTTGATTGCTTGAGACAATCGGGCAATTATGATGTCTTTTAAAACCATAGTAATTGATTGATAAGATCTTATTTGCCTAACATTCAATGGCAAATATTTCTTGCATATCCAGGGAAAAAAAACCTCGTTCAAAATATGGATAAAGGGTAAAGATAACTGCTGCCACTTTAAAATTTCTAGATGTGTTGTCAGTTGAAAGGATCAGAGCACAAATGTTGAAAAAGAACACTGCTCAATCATTAGTTTTCTATTTAGTTTTTTTGTGAACTGTTGCCTTTTTATCTTTTTTGTCTGCTGTATCAGTCTCAATATTTAGAACTCTTCATAAACAGGAGGAACATGAGAGAGTTGAAAAAACATTCTTAGTAGCAGTCCAAGTCCTTTCAGGTTGTTTTTATCAATCGCGAATGGTCTTTCATTCGATGTTATTTGTTGTTTATTTCGTGTTTTTTGTTTGTTTTTGTAATCCGTTATTTAAGATTAATAGTCAGTAGTTCTCGTATGCCATGTTTCACTGTTTTTCTTTTTCGCAAAATGGGGTGATAATGGTAGATCTGGCGTCTTTTTGTTCGAATTATTCATTAGTTTCATAGACTCTGTGCGATTTACAGCTTGACATCTTGTACAATCACCTGTCTATAATTGAAGAATGTTAAAAACTGTGTTACCATGTAGAAGTGTTTTATTATTTGGGTCACATAAAAAAAAATGGAAACTTCACGAGCATAAACTTTATCAACTTGCAATCAACCTTTTTTACAACACAAATGCAGATGTTTAGATAGCATGAAGCGATATTCGTATACTATAAGTACATAGTCTCATGTTATCTTGCTTCTGTTTCGAGCTTATGTTTTTATTCAAATTACTGTTCACATCACAGCTGCATTCCGGGTCCTCATCGCGGTCTGCGTTTAAATCATGTTGATTTTATTGCAAAAACAAATTCAACGTTAATGCTAAATTGCAGGATAAAAAAGGGACTCGAACATTCTAGGAATATATAAAATTTGTTTGTTCTGGCTACGAAACAAGCCTCGGTTTTCTATCTGTTTCTAAAGCTCTTTTAATTTCATTTCATATTCCCCTACGCTGTACGAATATTGTACAAATAACATTTAACTCCATGAAATACAAGATGCGTAGATAAATATAAATAGTATACTTGCCTGAAAGTACCAGATTTATAGTTGCGTTTACTGGTTCACTCATTACAAAATACTCGTCTGTACCATACTTTGTAAACATATTTATTATGTAAGTAGAAGGTGCTTTTAAATTTCGAACGGTGTATGATGTTGCATTCTTGTACACGTCATGTTCTTTGGAAAGACCATCCTCATTCGTTACCATTAGTTTCATTCCAAGTCTCTCATAGCAAGACTTTGACTGTTCCCATGTCACTTCAAAACTGGTATCTGATAAGACTTCAATTTGTAAATTTGAAACTCCATAATCTGAGAGATAAAGGAGTATTATGCAGATTAATTTGTTAGGCAAACTTTGATTTATCATAACTGACATTATCAAAATGGTCTTTTAAATTGACTTATTGGTAATGTTTTGTGTTTTTTTAATGGACAGTCAGCATTCATATTGGAGCAAGCTATATTTTGTTTTGTTGTCGATTTTTTCTTCTTTGTTTTAGGCAGACTTCATAGAAGGGCCTGTCAGAGATATATACACGATCTATTTCAAAGATCACGTGTTTCTATTTAGATACTGTCGTATCACTGACTAGTTCTAAGCGCAAAGCATATATCTATTCGATTGATCTTGTAATAGAAGAAACCATTGATAAATCAACATCTTTTGAAATATCTTCAAATATTTGAACCTGAAAATTCACAGTAATAGTTGGTTTAGAACTTATTGAAATGTTTCATGTATTTGTTGCATTATTCCAGTAGAACATCAATAGCTGATTTTCCCACACATTATTCAAAGGTTTGGCGTAATGAATTCGTTCACGCTGAGGGGATAACTACAGATGTGTACTAATGGTGGTAATAGCAATCTTGTTAACTCTTCATTTTGCATATTTTGATTTTCATAAAAAATTGCTACGATAGGAACTGGAACTTTTTACTTTCCATGTGCATCTAAGTTCGTCAAAAGTTTAGCCGAATATAGTTTAAAATCTTGATTTCTGCAGCATACTTTCGGTCTATTAACATTTTAGATAGTTTTGTGTGTTCTTCTTTGACAATTGATTGTGATACTCTGAACGGTAAATTTAAAAATTTCATGTAGTAATACAAATCAATGACATACATAATAAACAAGCATTATTTAAAAGTAAGGAATGTAATCTCCTTCATGCAAATATCTGATTCATTGTCCGGATTCGGCTATACCGTAGGTCCTTTTTGATTTGATCAACTCTTCAACATTTCTATTAGATTTCGGATATTCAAATATTCAAATATTTTGGCATCGAGCACAGCTGAAGAGACATTAATTGTCGAATTGTGCATCTGGTGCCTTAAAATTGGTACCGTTTATGTTATAATCAATAATTTGGTATTCTAACAAAATACCTCTTTTGACTTATTTACTAAAGCGACGAACCAGCAAATTCATTCACATTTACAGAGACAACGCGATTTCAGAAATTCGGACAAATGTTTTATTATGAGATGAGTTACATTTTCGTAATTTTATTCGCCCTAGTCGTTTGATGTTTCATTTAATTTTTTATAGAAGAACCTTTCATTGTGGGAAAGTAGTGAGGGTAGTATTTATATAATGTGTTTTTCTTATAAAACAAAGTAAAATAACAAAAATACTGATCTCCAAGGAAAATTCAAAACGGTAAGTCCCTTCTCAAATGGCAAAATCAATAAATCAAACACATCAAAAGGAATAGAAAACAACTGTCATATTCCTGACTTGGTACAGGTATTTTCTCATGAAGAAAATGGTGGATAAATAATTGTTTTATAGCTAGTTAAACCTCTTACTCGTATGACACAACTAGACACTTAATACCTTTTGTCACTTTTATTAGTCCTTACGTGGTGAGTGTTAAATAAAACAGAAAGAAGAAAAAATTACAAGTACTGGTGACTGTAACAGAGGACGTATTCGTTAAGTAGACATGATAAGTAACACCACTGTCCATTTGGAAAATTTAATTTTACTTTTAGATCATGAGTGTTCCAGTTAAGAATAAAAATTGTTTTCAGTTATTCCCAATACAGCTGCTTATTTGTTTAGTTCACACTTGACTTACGAAGACTATAATGTATGTTATGCTGATATTTACAACAAAGTTCAGGAAACGGCACAAATGCTCATATTGGAATTTTTTCTTCTTTCTTCTCGGCATTAAGATAAAAACAGAGTAGGCAAAAAATAAAAGAACGTTTCAATGGATATAAAATCTTGATGAGTGAAAATTCCAAATATAATCACAACAAGAATGTTTCTTTATAAGACACCATGCTCCGTTCACACTGTCATATTTCCCGAATTTGGTATATGTTTTTAAAATGTTAACATCTTGCTATATGAGATGTACTAAAATTAAAGTTGATGTAACCAGAATGTCAGGGAAAACTACCTTAATCCTAGACTATAACATAAATAGAAAGGATCTAAACGAACAGATAAATGCATATACAGAAAAAAAAACTTATCGTAGGCATACAAATGAGCCAAAATCAAAAATGGAACACTTGTGATTCTAGAGGATAAAGGTATTTTATTCTTCTGATCATTTGTACAAGTAAAAAATAAAGTCTCTTATTATCTACTTTTATGTTGGGCACATGATCATGGTACAATTACTGGTACGTCACAGTATATTTTGTTTAAGCCATGGTGATTTCTATAAAATTTCGAAGACAAACATGTTGTCTTCGACTTTAAAAAAAATCAACATGGCTTAAACGAGGGGTAAAGCGTCAAGGTTAAATCGCTGGACAAAAGCAATATATACATGTCGTATAAATGATATAGAAAAAAAATATTTGTACTCGTTACGAAACAGGAAAAAACCTTGGCGAGTCTCGCTTTCCTTCTTGTTTCTAATGATCGTACAAATATATTTTACATATTCTGACAAAGTACATATGTAAATCCATTTGCACTCTTATTATTAATATTTACTTATTCATTTTGTTACTATATCATTGCAGAAAATTAATTGAATGATTCAGTTCTGGGGCTCTTTTCACAAATGTTTTTTTTTAATTCTTACTGAGACTAGTACGAAATGCACGTCCCTTCTTAGTGAACAGTTAAAATCAATTTTTGGTCGTAGGTCTAAGGCATGTAAAGTAAAAAATAATATCATCTTAGTCTAATTTTAAATCTTTTGCAAAATTATCAAGTTGGAACAGCCGGAAAGGTATACAAGCACGATCATAAAAGGAAGGTGCTTGACTCCAGCTTATAACCAAACTTGTGTCTGATGTCTTCGATATAGTAATGTTTGAGGGACTGTAATCCGGAAATGGATTTTGTTTACACTCAAAGAAGTCAAATAAATTTCAATACAAACGGCTTTTTCAATGTCTGATATAACACAAGTATTTTCAAATTTCAAAACAATCTTCAGGAAGATACAAATAAAAGTACAGCACTAAAAGATATTTGACAAATAATCTGGTAATAACAATTACTATATACAGATGGGTGCAGTCCTAACCTGTACAAAAGTTAACTACGAGCAGTGCTAATGACTGCTCTCTTAGTTGACTTTAAGCAGTCCTGCAAGTTATCTTTATCCTTGTCAGACCAGACCTATGTCTGCTTTTTTAGGACTGCTGCAAACCAAACCCCAGGACAGGCCTAATAAAGCAGTCCAGTCCCCAGGACAGCTCAGTGTGTCCAAACTATACATCAGGACAGGTCAGCTTGACCAGACCAGACCAGTGACAGGTCAGCTTGACCAGACCAGACCTGATGACAGGTCAGCCTTACTACACCATATCTGTGCGCAAGCCAGCTTGACTGCTGTTAACCTGTCAAAACGTCTGATACTTAACAGACCAGTAATGTCAATCATGGGAATAGGCCTGCTTTTAAATCGGTCCTATGTTTTCACTGATAGGAAGTCGATACTCAAATGGTAGTCATCAATCAAAACGATCCTGTTTACTAGTTAACTTTTGATAATGTTTACTTCATCTTGGAGCAGACAAGATCACAGATAACTTTTATTAGGACAGGTCAGATTCGAATAGAGCAGTCCAGATCTTTAACTGCTTTTAACAGCAGACCTAGTCACAAATAAACTTGTGTGAAGAACCGGTGTTGACAAAGTTAACTTCGTGTTCAGATATAACATCAATATTGGACCTGTCATACAGTTAACTTTTCTGACAGTCATAAAAAGTCCTAGGACCAAGTCTGTTTTTAAAGTTATCGTGAATTCTGTCCTAGGACCGGTCGTAGCAGTCATAAATCTTGTCCCAAGCTAATGTTCACCAGTCTGGTTATCAAGTGAACTAGCTGTACAGGTTAGGACTGCACCCATTTGTAGATATATTTATATAAACTAATACAGATATACGGCAAAAAAATATCACCGATGAAAACAATCAAACACAGTAAGTTCTATCTGTGTATATCATCTGGGTAACGGACATTGAAATCCTAAATCTAGAAACTTTTCTAATCCTCCTGCATGCTAATGTTCCAGAGAATACAAATAAACGAAAGTTGATCTGACTGGCAAAAAAATGGCTATCCACTGGCGTCAAAATGACATAGATTTTAGCAACTATAGGTCACCGTACGGGCTTCAACAAATAGTCAGCTACAAAGGACCCGACGTGAAAAATTATGAAACAGTTCAAACAGAAAAACCAACGGCCTGATTTGTGACAAAACAATAAACAAGAAACAAATATGATGTAAAGCAACCACTGAAATACAGACTCCTGACATGGTATAGGCATATACAAAATGTGGCGGGGTTAAACATGCTGAAGCTTCCCCTAACCTTGGCAGTGATGTAACAGCTCAAGATAAAATAATTGTTGGAAAGGGCTGAATTCATTTGACCGACACGAACCACAAACAAAAACAACTAGAATCAGACAAAAGACGTATATATATTTCCGATCTAAGAATACTTGCAGTAACTTAATGCTAGTTCGAAGCCAATTGCAACTAACAATTAAATCATGATTTCCAGGACTTAAATATTGATCAGTAACAAATGAAAGAATTTAGACATTAGCGTACAAAAATCAAAATCAGTATGAGTAAAGCATGACATTGTGCAATTCTAAATTATAAGTTTTGAAGGGATGTTCAACGATAAGTGTTCATAACTGCATAGCAACACATTTTAGCTATTTTTTAATTTACTAAAAACTAAATCAATACTAGAACAAAATAAAGACAATATTCAAAGATCTAACTACAGTGTTAACATTGATAGCTTTTAAGAAATTATTCAAATGATTTATTGGTTAACATAGATCACATCTTATTTTACGGG